CATCAGACATAGAAAAAAAACTAGGTTGGAAAATGAATTGTTGTTGCCAGGAACACACAGTTAAAGCTATTCCCAGGGCGATGTGGTGTAGTAAAAAGGAGAGGCTTTTCCAACTATAAGGTTAAAGAGATTGGACGAGCGGTTAATTTAGGCCAAAAACACATTAAAAAGTGGAATTTAGGGAGCAGTGCAGTGTGCCATTTTCATTAATGAGGGGAACTGTTGATTCCATAACTAGTAAACCTGTAGCAATTACACACTTAGGAATATCTTAAAGGTGAATTATGTAACTTTTCTGGCGGAGGGTCCACTGCCTGCTTTTCTCCATGGAGATGGTAGTGCTTTGCCTCATATGTGATTTAGATATATATTTTATTCATTCAACATTCTGAAAATCATGCATACTTATTGTCAGTGGGGTCGCTTCTCCACTGACATGACCTTTCACATGACCTGTTCTACCACCTGTTTGTCTCCATGAAGATAGTTTTAATATGGAATATGAAAACGAAATGAGTGCAGTGAGTCAAGAGAGTAATCTCATGGCCAAAAATTATTTAAAACAGATGACTGAATTGCCAGTGATACCAAAAAAGATCTGATACGTGTACAGCAGCCAATAAAAGATCTGAGGTACTCTGTAGCATGACAAAGTAAAATCCTTCATTACAGCATGGACAGATAGATAGTTTTTTATGCCATACTGTGGGACATTGCAGGTAAAGCAAGAATCGCCATAGAGATGCAGGTGGCAGACCCTCCACTAGAAACATTACACACTGCACGCTTAATGTGGTGGAACTTGGAATACTCAAACATTGCATTTTTTTGTCTTTGAAAAGGGAGTGACACTGAATTGAACAAATTAATGACATTCAGTAGTTGGAGGTTTCATCTCAGCTGTCATCAATACGGTTGTTGTGTTTTGGAGCAAGACAACTACACTAACAGTCAAAAGTTTTAAAACACCACACTTTTTTCTAGTTTTTTATTTTATTTTTGTTTGCTGTTGACCAAAACGTATTCTAAACTTTTGATTCATCAATGTAGCCACCTTTGGCAGATATAACAGCTGAACACATTTGTGGCCTGTTCCGTTTACAACAGAAATCAAATATTCTTCAGAAAGTTCTTTCCAAGTCTGTCTGCAGAAGTTCCCATAAATCTGTGGCACTTGTAAGTTGCTTGGTTTTCAGTCTTTTGTCCAGTTCATCCCAAAACCAGCTCAATGGGGTTTAAGTCTGGAGACTGTCTCACCATCTTGTTCTTTTTTCCTGAGGTAGTTTTGGCAGAGCTTGGACTTGTGTTTTGTTATTTTTTATGTTGTTTTTTTTTTTACCTCTGGCTTTTCAGCACTTACCTTTGTACCATTTCCAACTATTCATTTGACTTGCACAACTTGAACTGCAATAAATAACTGGAAAAATTAGGGTGTTCTAAAACTTTTGACCAGTAGTGTAGGTATAACATCCTTAATTCGCATTACCATCAGCAAAACATAAAATAGAGTGGATTGCAGTAACCATGGGCTCTAAGCGGGGTACTTCCTGAGCAGTGACCTGTCAACTATTCTAGCATTTATTTTTTGCAAGCAATAGAGAATACCACTTCTAATATCAACTTTAATACAAAGAATTTAGACTGCGATAAACCCAGAAACTTCTTTGCACAGAGGCCAACACTGCATGCTTTTAATTTGCTCGAGCTATAGGTTAATTTCTCCTCTAATTAAAAGTAGCTCGTAATTACAAAAGGTACTGTACACTTCAACTCTCATTTTAATAGGGCTCGGCTCGCAACAGAAGTCAATAGCAACAGCAGTGGACAACCAGGGCGGTAAAAAGCCGTTCTGATTGATGAACTCAAAGTGGCAGATAGCACCCTTGCTCAGAGAGTGGCGCTAAACTCAAGTACTTACAAATGAAAAGGTAGCAACTTCAAGGTAAAACCAAATAAGAAAAAAAACATTGAAAACAGTGGCTTTTTCAGGTAGCCATTTTGAAGGTAGAATAGTATAGTGCTTTTAGATGAGTGTGCCTTCTCTATCGGTCTATTTCTTTGCGAGTCTTTAAGGGGAAAGCTAGAAGTGGCAGTGTCCGCTTTGATATGCACTTTGCACAAATTAAGGAGGTATATGTGAGGAGTGGTGAGAGTATAGGAGAGGAGAGGCACAGAGCAAGTGGGACACTCAAGGGCTACGAAAATGCAGGCTAGACATGAGAGGAGGAGAGGAGAGACGGAGGAGAGGAGAGGGAGAAAGAGGGAGCGAGGCGAGGCGAGAGGAGAGAGATAGGGGAGTGAGCGAGAAAAGAGAGGGAGGAAGAGTGGGAAGTGAGAGAGAGGGAGAGTACGAGAGTGCAAGGAGAGAGAGAAACAAGATGGGAAGGAAAATGGCTAGAGAAGGGAGGAAGAGAGAGATAGGAGTGATAGAGAGAAGAGAATAAGATAAAGAGGGGAGAGAGAGAGATGGGATCGAGAAGGAGGAGAATGAAGAAGGGAGGAGAAAGAGAGGAAGGGATATGAAGAGAGAGAAAGCAGTGATAGAAGAGAACAAGATAAAGAGAAGAGAGAGAGATATGGGATCGAGTAGGAGGAGAATGAAGAAGGGAGGAGAAATGAAGGAAGGGATATGAAGAGAGAGAAAGCAGTGAGAGAGAGAAGAGAATAAGAAAGAGAGGAGAGAGAGAGATATGGGATCGAGAAGGAGGAGAATGAAGAAGGGAGGAAGAAGTAAGGAAGGGATATGAAGAGAGAAAGCAGTGATAGAGATAGAAAAGAGAGAGATGGAGAGGGGATAGAGATATGCAAGGGAGAAGAGAGAGAAAAGAGGTGACATGCTTGAGGGTAAGGAGAAATTGAAAGAAAGAGGGAGTGTGTAAGGATAAAGAGAGAAGATAGAGAGAAAGGGGAGGGAAAGGAGAGTCGGAGATGGGAGGGGTATGGGAGTAAAAAGGGAAAAAGGAGAGAGAAGGAGAGAGATAAAGAGAGGAAGGAGGGATGGGGGGAGAGAGAAGAGGCAGCGGGTTGGTTTATGGCGACTTCAGATATACGATTGTTTTTTTCTTGAGTGCCAAATCATATAGCAGTGGGACTAGGCTTGATGAAGCTATTCATTTTGATTAGAAGTTGAGAGTCCATGTGAGCACTTGAACATACACACATGCTGTAGCAGTCGTCTCACATAAGCTCTGATCAGACACACTTTAAATGATGCATGAATGCCTGTTATAGCTATAGGGGGACTTACTCTGTTAGCATCCATGTAAAAGCACTTTTATTTTTACAGCTTGTTTCTGTAAGGGAGGGAGATTGCTCGAGTCTATCCAAGCTATAGGGTACAAGGCAGAGGGAGGGCAGCTTTGGTGGAGGGTTCAACACCTGCTTGTATCCATGGAGATGTTATTGTTTTGTCTAGAATTTTCCACAGTATAGTATTCAATTTACCTATCTCCACATTGACTTACTGGTGATACTAGACCATGATTTAAGTCAAATCTGTGGAGAGGCGAGCCCACTCACAATAAGAATGCACAGATTTCAAGGTTTCTATAGCAACAAAAAACACCTAAAAATTAATAAATAAATAAATGCATGATTGATAAATTTAATGCCATCCTGTGAAACATTCATCGCAAAGAATTAACAGCTACATAGAAACAAGCAGGTGGCGAACCCCCCAAAAAGTTACACAGATCACCATTAAATTAAAATCATCTTTTGTCCTAACACAAGGGGTCAGTGAGAATGAAGTAATGAATTCATTTTTGAATGAATGACTTTATCTTAAAGGGACAGTCTGGAATTTTGGACATACAGCTTAATTTCCTAGTGAGCCAGAGTGTTGGAGACGTGTGGAGACTCTATTTAAAATATCCCATCCAGTCCTTGTATTTGCAGAGGTCGCTGGTGCTAGGCTAGTGCATGTCAATGGCCATAGTTATCCTGCCACTAAAAACAGTCTTACCCACTCCACAAAACACCTGAAGTAAAAAAATTATTACGCCAGACTGTCAAACTAAATGTCTGTGTAGATAGAATTTTAGAAGTAAAACCAACCTCGCATTTGAAGGATGTATGTCTGAGCAGCAGCGGTGAGTTGTACTTCCTGATAGAAAGCTTGGCAGCAAAGGACTGGTATCACCTAGCATCTATCTTACTGGCAAGTAAAATTCCGCTGCTGCTGAGAAAATAGTCCCTCAGCATGCAACGATTCCTGTGAATCAAGGTTAGTTTTATTTCAAACATTATTCTATCAACACAGACATTCACATCGACAGTTTGGTGTAATAACAGATTTGCTTTGGGTGTTTTGTGGAGTGGGTAAGACTGTTTTTAGTGACAGGCTAACTATGGCCATTGACACGCACTAGCCTAGCACCAGCGACCTCTGCAAATACAAGGACTTGATGGAATATTTTTTAAAAGTGTCTCCACACGTCTCCAACACTCTGGCTCACTAGGAAATGAGGTCCTATGTCCAAAATTCACTTTTTAACTTTTCAACTGAGGGTCCGTAATCTGCTTGTTTCTATGGATATGTCACTGCTTTACTTTTCATGTTCCATGATATGACATTAAACAGATCTACCTTACATTTATTCAAATACAGGGGGTTTCATTGCTTAAAAATATTTACAAAACCAGACTGTACTGACCAGTAACTTGGCCAAGTTTTGTCTCCAGGATGACAGAAAGGACAAAACAATAACATCTCCATAGAAAAAACAGGTGTCGGACCTTCCACCGGAAAAGTTACACAATGCAACTTTAAAAATGCAAACTCTAAAACAGAACTAATATTACAAATATTGTCATTGCAAGAGCAGCCACAAATCAAAATTATAGTTATTGTACAAAGGCAACAAAGCTGCAAGTTTACATGGCCAAAAAGCAGTGGGAAGTAGTACTACAATATATTTCATGACTGTCCAGGGGATTGAACCTACAACATCTTGGACGGCCCTTTACATTACAATTCAAGAAAAACGATGGCATCCTACCTGCGGTGTTTTCATCCATGGATCCAATGTTGCTTTCATCTTCCACTATAAGAAAAATAAAAAAGTTATTTGACTTTGAAAATGTAAAAATATACGTGCATTTCCCTGTTTCTCTCATTCATAAGTTTTGAAACTGCTTTCCACATGTTGTTTTTGGCTTCTGAACAGTCACATTTCTCACTCATATTTTACAACCATTTTCACTCCAACACATAAAAGTTTCTGTGGTCTACTATTACCAGGAATAACCCATCATTTGAGCTGTTTGTACAAGTTACAAAATTCTTTCTTTTGAAACACAATACAACATGAACAGCCGCAGTGAGATTTTGGACTAGAAGACAAAGCTGATAGGAAACATATTGCTGCTATCAGATTACAGTTGTTCATCAATGTTGATTCTTTTGGAGCACAGCAAAGCCTTCATTGTCAATACATGAGTAATGCGTTTGTACAATGGTTGTCTCACTCTCCAATGATTTTATATTGTCGAAGTTGATTTGTGGTATTGTTGAGGAATCGAGTTTACGCTTCCATCTACTTCAAACTAAATGAGAACTCAAAACTCTGTGTGGGAGAAAAAGAAAGCCAAGAAAAGCAGTCTTGAACCAACGTTTGAGTAGTTCAAAGTGGCAAAACAATACAATGACTTCAAGTGCATCACATCAGTTACAGTTGTTCACTTACATAAAAGAATTTATCAATGCGCTTTGTCCCAAACCTTTGCAAAATGTACTGTTTAAAGATGTAGCTTCATTTAGAATAACACATCTAATTACAAAATGTACCAATAACATTTTGAGGAGTTGTTTTCTTTCTTAGGTTTCTTACAGCTACAAAGATTATTAATGCTTATGTGTTAAGCACTTTGTGTTGCATTTTTTGTATGTAAAGTGCTCTATAAATAAAGTTTGATTGATTGATTGACTGACTGATTAAGATGAAGTTAACATTACAATCACACAAAAATATTACATGTACACTATGGCTACATTCAGACTGCAGCCTGAAGTGACCCAAATCAAAATTTTTGGCCCCTATGTGACCTGTATCTGATCTTTTAATGACAGTCTGAACGACACAGATCCGATTTTTTTCAAATGGGACCCAGACCACTTGAATATGTGCTCCTAAAACCGATGCATATCTGATCTTTTGACATGCGACTTCAGTCTGAACGGCCAGGTCACCTTCATGCCAACTACACATCAGGCTCGGAGTCTAGTCAATGGAGGGAAAGCGAGGTTAGAGAGTTCATTCATATTTGGGGGGATCGCTGTATTCAGGCCAAATTGGAGGGTTCTTATTGGAACCAGGTGTTTTTTGAAATGATTGTCAAAAAAATGGCAGAGCGCAGCTACAAGCAGTTCTGGCTCCAACGTCAACAAAAAATAAAGAACCTACAAGTCAAATACAAGGAGGCAATAGATTCAAACAAACGAAGCGGCCATGGAGGTGTAACCTGTCCATTTTACAAGAACTGGACCGTATTTTGTTAAGGCTACTTCCATAAACACTGAGCATGCTCGCTACGTCGTTGTGTCCTCCAATGTGCACGCAGGACACTGTTGAGGCGTTTAAATATCACACTGGAGATCACATACAAGTCATCTAATTGGAAATGTGAACAACCTTGCAAAAAAAATCTGATTTCACAAAAAAAATAATCTGAATTGAGCATTAAGCCCTGCAGTCTAAATGTGGCCTATAAAACTTTTCCGGTGTGGGTCCCTGTAGAGGTGTTATTCTAGCAATGTTCCACAGAATGTTATTAAACTTATTTATCTCTATGGAGACAAGCAAGTGATGTCAACAAGTCACAGTTGCAGATCAGCTCTGTGGAGAGATTAAGAATTCACATTTTTAAGGTATTTTTAGCAGTGAATTTTGTTATGGATAGATGCAAGATAGATTGTGAGTAACAAGCCAGTAAGCCAGTGCTACTCTGTGTTTTTAAAGTCCACATGTTGACTATTGTGGCAACCATTATCATATTTCATAATTCTCAAAACATTAACACGCCAAAGTATGAAATACATCATTTTCTTAAGTTATAAAATCTGAAGTTCTTATGCAAAGAGTCTGAAGACAGCTTTATATAAACAGATATGTAAAATGCCAGACTACTTTTCTCTGCCTGGCTCCTACTCCCCTTGACAACACCAAACCTATAAATATTCCTTGACTTACCTGGTGTTGTTCTAATCAAATCAAGTGTTTAATTGATCATGACTCGGGCTGATTACAGAGTGGACCTTCCCCTGTGATGTCGAGTTACTTAAGTTCATTTTTCTTTTTGTCCTGACTGACCCCTCGTCCATTTCTCAGGCCTGTCCGTGACCTCTGACCTCTCCTAAATCTGCTCTATTCACATCGACCCCGGTCTCGCTCATTGATGTCTTCCTCCCGCCTTTAATGTGGAGACAGCTTCTCCGCGTATCATTTCTCTTTGTTAATCCAACTTTCACTTTCAGGCTGTCCCCCATTTGATGCATTGTTTACAGCTGTGGAACAAATAAGAAAGAATTACTCAAAACATTTTTTTCTTTTGTCAGATCATCTCAATTTTTACTCTTTTTTCTGTAAACCTATTCTTCTTTGCAATATCTTATAATATATTGGACTGCATAAACATGTTTTTGCTATCTGAGCTATGATTTTTGAATGGTTTTGTTACTTTTACTCTAGTTTGTAGATATGCTGAAATAATTTTTATACATATTTTTACTTGTCAAGATGTAAATTTCTTAATCAAATTCCAATTATTTGATGGTTTGTTAGTAGATTGGGCCATTTTAACTATTTTCTGATCGATGTTATAACATTGTTTCCGCATCGGTACTGCCCAGAGTTGTGTTTTGTTTCATTCACAACTGTTTAACACATAAACACTGCATATTTACACTGAATTCTTCTTTCAGACAGAAAACAATCTTTTCCACCTTGTGATGTTATGTGGTAATACAGGAAGTGCTCCAAAGTGTTTTTAAACTTCATACACTTTCACTAGTATCATCTGGATCATCTCTACTGAACAAATGTTAAAAGGTAGCAGTTAAATTTAAGTATTTTGAGCTTTGGAGCTGTAGACTAATAATAAAAGATTATTAAAAGATGTATGAATAAAACAAAACACAACTCCAGGTATATTTTTGAGAAGGTAACAACATTATAACACGGCTTAAAGCTCACAAGAGACAATTTTGCGTAATATAGCACCTTTTAAATTAAATATTTGCTACAGATTTTTACTTAACTTTGATATACTGATTTCATTCTTATAACTGCACTTTCACTTCTTTGATATTTTTCCACTGTCTCCCTCCCTCTGCCCAAAGCCACAAAGCATGTAAGCCTCAATAAGAACCACATTGACTGGTAGCGCTGTCCCATGCACTCAGACACGTAGCGAGACCACAAAACTCCCTTCAAATTCTTCCCTAATGAAAACCAACCGTACTCTGTGTCTGTGAACGACACGAGGCGCAAAAACAACATGAGGCTGTGGGCTGAGGAGGACATGCACACACAAAAATAAGACCACAAGAATAAGTGAGAATTTGACATGCTGTAAACTTGAAATAATGTTTTGAAATAACAAGAACTGAATTGTTGGACCACAGAACCTTTTCATACTACGGGAAATGTTAAGAATACAAATACGGCAGTTTTAGGAACGCAAACTTTGGATCATACATTTTTTTGTTTTATGTGATACTTTCATAATATTTTTCATGCACTGAATAAACCCGCTAACACATAACGAATGTTTGAGTGGTCACAAAATGGTACAGTAAATTGTGCCTCCTATTCAGTTGTAGTGTTTGACAGAAAGAAGACAGAAATCAACAGTGTAGCTTTGAACATGTCTGTCTCCATGGGAACAAGCAGGTAAGAGGTCAGATCTGTGGAGATGTAACCCCAATCACAGAAAGAGCGTGTGTTTTTCAAAGTAATTCTGTGATTTAATAAATGCAAGAAACGTAAATTGAATGCACTAGTGTAAAAAATCGCTATGGAGAAAAACAGGTGGCAGACTCTACACCAGAAAAGTTGCATAGTGTTGAGAAAACTTTACTTTTAACATTCTTTTCCACTTGGCAGCCATTTCAGCATTGTATTAGCTAATGGACCAATAGCGATTACATTAGGAAAAACATGTAATTAAGAAAAAGCGCTTTCCCATACCATATTTTAACCCAACATGTAAAACAATGAGCCTTTTGAGGATGAAACATGCTACAACTCTTTACTTAAATTCCTCATTCTCTTCCAATGAATCACATTATTTAAATTATAAAGCACTGAATGAAGGAAGAGGGAGTTTGTAGACGGTCTAACTGAATTAAAACCTTTTCCAAACATTGTTCTGAAAATGTGTCTCTGAATGTGGGCACAGTGAGGCGAAATAACTGCTTTATAAATGAAATCAAGACAATCTAATTGCATTAAACACGGCTCCAGCGCCAATGTCCCGTAGTCTGTAGTGGTGCGTAGTTTCAAGCAATATATTTATGAAGGAACTTAAAGACTGGATTTTTACTGTCTTAAAAAAGTCAAAAACAAAACTAGTTCATTTTAAAAACTTTGCAATAGTCCAAATGTATCCTTTGCTTCTTTTATGCACTCTAAAATCTATCCATCTATCTAAATATCCTAATTATTTACCACTATCAGTTTTAAGTGCTTCTCACAATTTTCAGATCACAGTTTTGCCATCACGGTAATACCAAAAACAACCAGAATGCTACCAGTGCACTTCCTGATTATCTGATAAAACACATCATAATTAGATGCAGCCAGTACACAGCCGACTTATTCTGAGCTCAAGAGCTGTGTGCAAGACCAATTTGGATGGGAAAAATCTGCTACGGGCCTTTAACTAGCACAAGGCAAAATTGAGGGAGATACAAAGTTTACCAGTTAGTGTTTCAAAGAAGAGAGTTCATGACTTGAGTGTATGTTTATCATCTTAATTGAGAATCAGCAGAACATTAAGTTTGTTCCAATTTATAAGGAATGTTATGATGTAACAGAGAATTCAGTGTAGAGTTCACAGTCTCTAACACGTCCAAGTGAAGAAAAAAAAAAGTTCGAGTAGTTAAAAATGACAGTGCCATTTAGGGGCCAGAGGCAGAATGTGCAACGTGAGTCACTTAATTCAGTCATTTGTAATTGTCAGTCATCAGCTTGGGTGTTTTTAATAGAGGCTCTCTCCAATCCTCTGTCAATAAAAATATGTGGCTTGGAGCAGAGTTCAGACTTTGAAGAGAGACACTGGAAAAACAGGTGTATCTCAAATTTTAATTCTGTATGGTTTATGTTTAGAGAATTAATAGTGAAAATGAGACATATTTTTGTGGGGAAAGGTTTTTGTGTGTGTGTGTTTTTTCTGAATATATACAATATTATTTAGGGATGTAACAATAACTAAAATATCGTGATATCATATCGTCAAAAGTGTCACAATACTATCGTGGCCTGTCACAATATATCAAATTTGAAGTTCCTACTATAAAACCATATGTTTAAGCAATTGAATGCATGGATTTATAGTAGCAACAGCTTCATTTCATTGCAAACAACATGAAGAAATATGTTTTTTACTTGTATTCTTGAGATTATGATGGAAATAATTCACACCAAAATCTTGTCAAGGTTTTTTAAAAGCAAAAAAAGTGTCCTATTTACAATTATATTAGCCTCTTCAAAATATCGCTGTAAATAACGTGCCGTGAGATGCATATCATGATAATATTGTACAGAGAGATTTGGATATCGTTACATCTCTAATGTTACTTATTTATTAATTTATTTAAGAATATAAAGTGTATGACTCTTTAAGCTTTCACATTATTTATATGCAGGTTTACATTAGGAGATTGATGTCCCTTTTGTTTGTTATTTGCACATTAAAGGTCCTATATTACACCAAGTTAATTCTTGTGCGATTTAAGCCATGCTATAATGTTGTTACCTCATCCAAAAACCGGAAGTTGTGTTTTGTTTCATTCACATGTTTGAGTGCATTACTTTTGTTCAGTGGAGATGACCAATTCCATAGCTGCAATTATCCAAACGTGTGAATGAAACAAAACACAACTCCGGGTATGTTTGTGATGAGGAAACATTACAACATAGATCAGAAAATAGAGTAAGCTTGTATGGGTTGACTGCAAATACCAGCAAGTGAACCATTAACCACTTTGCCATTGTAAATATTTGATACAGTATTCAACTATAAAAATCTTACAGCATGTTGCACTTTTGCCCGCTTATATAACCGTCTTTCTGCACAGCTTGTTAATAAATGGGCCATTCGTAATCTCCTCTTATTGCTGCCAATCCATGCATTTCTGCGATGACAGTTGTGCTATCATGACTGAAAAGCTAATTTGGTTGGGCTGGCATTTAGCAAAGATCAAGTGCGTAAAAACTACAAAGAAGCTTGATGTACGGACACGCAGCGTATGGTAGCGGACTATTCAATGCAATTTCCACAATCCCCTCCTCTCCTGTCTCTCTCTCTCCCTCTTTGCAAATCCAGCTTAGAGAGGGAGTGACATTTCAAACAATACGCCATTGTCTAGAAACTGCGTACGAAGTCATAGTACACAAATGTGGGCCAAAACATTAGCAATCGCAAATCTGAAAGTTTCTACTATCAAAATGTCAGTTTAAATCGGTCATCTGGAAGCCACAGGTGGAAAGCAGGTTCAGAACGGAGCACTTTTTTTTGCATAATAAAGACGTACTAATAAGCAGTCAAATTGTTGCTTGTTACGTTCTTTTGTTAAGCGAGTGAAGCAGAAATCATAGTCTTATAATTGAATTGAGGTTTGGTAATTGGTAGGTTTGTACAGGATTAAAAGAAAAGACACATTCACTGTTATTTGACAAAAGAAACACTCGTGCAGGTGACAAGAACACACAACTGAGCCGTTTTAGTGTTTTAACATCTGCATGAGACAGGTGGACTACGTTTGTCAGTTAACCATTAAATAAACTTCAAAAACACAATAATAATAATAATCCTTGCTTTCTGGGGACATGAGACAAACATTTATTTCTTGAAGACTGATCCTAACCTTAACCTAAACCTTAACCTAAGTGTACCCATATCATGTTGTGCCAATAAATGATTTTGAGTAATGGGAGACCACATTTTTGTCCCCATAATAAAGGCTGATCCCCCATGAATAATTATTAAGAAACAGTTTGTTCATTATGATTTTTTTTCATGCTTTACTATAGCCAATTAAGGTGTAGTTATAATAAATGTAATCATCTGGTCTTCCTACATGTTTTTGATAGTCAGTTCACTATTCAAATTAGATACACTTTGAAAATCTAAACTCAATTTCAAGTGAGAGCTCTTGAAAGTATTCGGTGCCCTGTGTGTAATGTGTGTAAAGTGTGTGCATTGTACAGACAGATACAGGTAGTGTGTTGTGGGGCCGTAGCAGCATTCGCCTGTAGCCGTGCATGAGGAGGGTTATGGGCACATGCAGACAGCCTCATGCAGAGCTCAAACAGGTTTAGAGGGTCCCACCAGTGTGTTGTCTGCTCGGGGCCGTACCCAGGTCCATGCTCTTGGATGCCTTCACATGGAGAAACTGACGAGGGTTAGGACTCTGCGCCAACGCGCGGTTCAGATTGTCTCGGAAACTAAAAACAAAAGAAAGATTATTTTAGACATTCATTTATAAAGGTACAGTTTCTGACTTTCTGCAAGTGCCACGTAACTTGCATGATTCTATTGGAATACAAACTTAAAACCATACTTTGGACCATTCTCCATGGAGATAGATATATTTTATGCCATACTGTGGAAGATTATAGCTAAAGAAACAACATTTCCATGGAAACAAGCAGGCCCTCCAGGCCTTCTCACAGTAAGGACGCATGTTTTTCAAGTTTCTTCAGTGCAATAACACACATAAGCATCCTTTTATTTAGTCAATTTTTGACACAAATGGTTATACCCTGTGTCTTTAAAATGATGTAAAATCAAATCAACCTGTAAACCTGTGTGCAAGTGAATACACACATCATAAAAGGGATGGATTGTTGTAAAATGTTGGCATGTTTGGAATAAATGTATTATTGAAAAAAAATGTCAATTATATTTCAGTGCAACTAATGCAACTAAATAAAGTTAAAGTAACTGGTAATGAACTTCATTTTCAAACAATAATCATGACAGATTTGCAAAGTATATTTTCCAAATCTAAGGGTAGGTTCACACTTGTCATTGGTCTGTCCTGGTTTAAATAGTCCAAATGTGATTATGAGTTTTATTCCAAGTTCAGTTCCAATATTTCCATGACATATAGGCAAATGTGAATGCTCCCTAGAATCAAGACTAACCCAGATCTAAACATGGACTTGGATGAGGTCTAAACTTAGACTAAGCCAAGAATATACCAAGTTGTTTTCTTATCCCTGTGAACACATTTGGACATTTGATTCTACCACAACTGGAAAAGGCAGATTTCCAAATGTGACCAATAGTGTTGAGTTGCACAAATTGAAGAGTACAGAAGTGGAGCTAAGTCAAGCTGACCTTTAGATTTATTGAATTTAGCTGCACACAGTAACGGGAACAGAATGTAAATAGGTTAGAACTGTAATGTGATTATGATTGACCAGAGCTGTGGTGTCAGTGCAGTCAGGAGGAGACATATAGAATACACAGTCAGATAGGAACATACAAAAACACACGATTGATACTTTGCAGTGACATCACGCTGAAGGGTGTTCTGTATATATGTCGATGGCAGAATATTCAGCAGCTACTATGGTGACACAATGCACATAAACACTGTCATAAAATGGATTTAAGCAACATATTTTCAGGAGACTATGACCATGGCCCTGTTTAGATGTTTGATTTTCAAAAAAAAGGTGAGTGACTAACTGAAAAACTTTTGGTAATGCTGGATAGATTATGACTGTAATGTTATTTGAGAGAGAAATGTTTAACAGTACAAGTCAGCTCAGTTGTTGTAGTTCCCAGACGGAGCTTCAGACAGTGTAGTGCCTACAGTTAGCTTTACACCCCCAGGGAATGTTGATGACATCAGCTGCAAAATATCAATAGAAGACTTTCCTCTATATAATACTTGCAGGCCTAAGTTTGTCCTGGTTTAGAGCTTGAAAAGTCCAAAATTGGTTCACTGATGGTTATGGAAAATGGTCTTGTTCCCAGTTGAGGTTTTGGATACTACATGGTCCCAACATTGCACAGATTAAATATGCAAATCCTGATTTAGTCCTAGTCAGATTTTAATAGATCCATTAGTATATTGTTTGTCTGTTTGTCTTTTACTCTGGACCATGATTCTGCAATGAAGATATTTATCAATATATCTATTCAGACATCGTCCTGGCTAAAATATATGGATGTCTTGATTTAGTATGGGGTGAGTCCTCAGAATGCCCCAACTTAAATATGGTAATGTAAACAGTAGGGATGTAATGATATCCAAATCTCTCGATATGATATTTTCACAATATGCATCTCACGATACGATATTTATTGCAATATTTTGAGGAAACACAAAAATGCCTTGACAAGACTTAACCCAAAGAACTAAGACTTAAAAGTGCTTAGAACTGTTATTTCTTCATGTACTCTTCACTGAAACAGAGCAAAGGATCTTGGTCTATGTAGTTCCCTCTGTTTTTTAGCTATTGCTGCTCCATAACCATTAATTTAAACGAAAAGACTTGTAATTTGATATATTGTGATGGTCAAAGATATTATTGTGAGACCTTTGACGATGATATTACGATATTTTGGTTATTATTACATCCCTAGTAAACTGCAATTTCCCCTTTGAACTACAAATAATGGTTCTATTTATGTTATCTTATCTTGGTCCAGTTTTAGTCCTAATTTCATCCGACTTCTGGTTTAGTCACGGCTAGACCGGCTAGACAGAGTTCAGACCTGATTAAGATTAACATTGCCCCAATTATCTGCCAGTCATGGTTTAGTCCTTATCAGGTTCTAAAGTAGACCTAGATCAGTCCTGATTTAATCCTGACTAAAGTCCCGGTAAACTTGTAATTTAGACCTGGTTAAGTCCTGGTGTTCTGGTTAATAAAAATGTAACACTGTGGTGTAGTGTTTAATTCAGTTGCGTCTTAGATTAGCCCTGGTTTTAACAGTAGAGTTAAACAAACCTCTCATGCAGATATGAGTTTTGCTGGACGGAGTTACTGAACGATGTTTCCTGTCCGTACGTCTCACCATCCTCCTCGTCCATGTGACTGTAGCTCCCATTGCCCACTGCAAAAAAGAACTAATTAGTAGCACACCTCCACCATAACTAAGTAGCACACCTCTACAATAACAGGCAGCATGTTAATGATTACCAAACTATACTTAAAATAAACTAATTAAAATAAACTAGGCTACTGCAATTTTATTAAATGTGAAATAGGGCTTGAACACTGAACACTCACTGAACAATATTATCACAGTATTCACCTTTGTCAATATATTCATCCAGTCAATATTGTGACTTCAAAATGAATATTTCCCTAATCTCTAATATTGAAAACAAAGGGGCTATTAGGTTACCCCACAATATTACATGTGCATTTCCATTGTAGGGTTAAGTACCACTGTGTAATACATCTCAAGGGACTTCCAAATGTGTTCCTAAATCCATTCTCCCATGATGCAATTGGAGACCACATTAGTCGGGATTATTTTGGTTTTAAGGAGTGGTCAAAAGAGAGACTCTAGGGAATTCATTCGGTCCATTTAAAATTTGAGAATGCAGTGGTTTTATTTTAAACTCCATTAAGTAAATCTTTAATAGCATTTTAGTGTTAAAACATCATATTAAGTACACCTCGGAATTATTCAGCGATTAACTAATTCAACTGCATTAATTCAGTTACTTTTCTGTTACAGTGAGTGAGTCGCCTCTCCACAGATCTAACCTGTAATTTGGCTTTGTACCCATTTGTCTCCATGAAGATAAGTCTGTTTAATGCCATACTGTGAAGCAATAACATCTCCATGGAGTAGGTGGCCTCCATAAAGTTACATTTAAATGAAAAAATAAAGATACAAATGAATTAAAAAATAAATGAAAAAATAAATAACTTCATTTGAAAAGAAAAATGAAATTGTGTTGATCACAAAAGTCTACACTTTCACATTGACTTCACACTTTACATAGAACTTCCTACGAAACCCATTTCAAGATGAGATTTCCTGCTGCTCTTATGACTTTCAAACTAGAGCCCCATCATCGCTAACTCCACAGTCTGAGAGGGAGATAAGTCCATGAACGCTACCGCCGCAGTAGAGGAAGAAGAAGAAGAAATATTGACGTGGATGAGACGTGGAGAGAGAGTGCAGGAGATGTGTGAATGTGATAGGTTTGTGTGTGTTTGCGTGTACATGTGAGTGAGTGTGCGTGTGTGAAAAATGAGTTTCCGAGGCTCTTCTTCACACAGGGACATTTACATAGAGTCATCATTCTGTGAGCGCATCACTGTCAAACCACACGCACAGATTATTGCTCCCTCTTTCACTCTGTCCACATCTGCCACACAGAGGAACCTCACATCGCCACTCATCTTCATCAGAGCTTCTTCTGTATACGGAACTCTTGGACCTGCTTTAGTCCTGCTTTAGTCCTGCTTTAGTCCTGCTTTAGTCCTGCTTTAGTCCTGCTTTAGTCCTGGTTGAATTCTGGTAAAGATACCAGGCTGAATCCAGGTTGAGTTCCGGTTGAGTCCCGATTAAGTCCGGGTTTAGTACCAGTTTAGTACCAGTTTAGTAGTAGTTTAGTACCAGTTTAGTACTAGTTTAGTACCAGTTTAGTAGTAGTTTAGTACCAGTTTAGTAGTAGTTTAGTACCAGTTTAGTACTAGTTTAGTACCAGTTTAGTAGTAGTTTAGTACCAGTTTAGTACTAGTTTAGTACCAGTTTAGTAGTAGTTTAGTACCAGTTTAGTAGTAGTTTAGTACCAGTTTAGTACAGTAGTTTAGTACCAGTTTAGTTTAGTAGTAGTTTAGTACCAGTTTAGTACCAGTTTAGTAGTAGTTTAGTACCAGTTTAGTACCAGTTTAGTAGCAGTTTAGTACCAGTTTAGTAGTAGTTTAGTACCAGTTTAGTACCAGTTTAGTAGTAGTTTAGTACCAGTTTAGTACCAGTTTAGTAGTAGTTTAGTACCAGTTTAGTACCAGTTTAGTAGTAGTTTAGTACCAGTTTAGTACCAGTTTAGTACCAGTTTAGTAGTAGTTTAGTACCAGTTTAGTACTAGTTTAGTACCAGTTTAGTACCAGTTTAGTAGTAGTTTAGTACCAGTTTAGTACCAGTTTAGTAGTAGTTTAGTACCAGTTTAGTAGTAGTTTAGTACCAGTTTAGTACCAGTTTAGTAGTAGTTTAGTACCAGTTTAGTAGTAGTTTAGTTAGTAGTACCAGTTTAGTAGTAGTTTAGTACCAGTTAGTAGTAGTTTAGTAGTAGTTTTAGTACCAGTTTAGTACCTAGTAGTTTAGTAGTAGTTTAGTACCAGTTTAGTAGTAGTAGTTTAGTTTAAGTACCAGTTTAGTACCAGTTTAGTAGTAGTTTAGTACCAGTTTAGTAGTAGTTTAGTACCAGTTTAGTACCAGTTTAGTAGTAGTTTAGTACCAGTTTAGTAGTAGTTTAGTACCAGTTTAGTACCAGTTTAGTAGTAGTTTAGTAGCAGTTTAGTAGTAGTTTAGTACCAGTTTAGTAGTAGTTTAGTACCAGTTTAGTACCAGTTTAGTAGTAGTTTAGTACCAGTTTAGTACCAGTTTAGTAGTAGTTTAGTACCAGTTTAGTAGTAGTTTAGTACCAGTTTAGTAGTAGTTTAGTCCAAGTTTAGTACTAGTTTAGTACCAGTTTACTACTAAACTGGTACTAAACTAGTACTAGTTTAGTACAAGTTTAGTACCAGTTTAGTACCAGTTTAGTACCGCTTTAGTCATGAGGAGGAACCTGTCAATACGGCCACACTACTTGCTTATCAAAGACCTGATCTAGTCAGATCTCGAAAGCTCAGCAGGGTGCTCCTGGTTAGACAGTGGATGGGAGTAGTTGGGAATACCAGATGCCACAGTGAGGCAGCACTGGTTATAGTGCATATAACTATGGTTACAGATCTTACGCCTCTAATTGGATAAATACATAATATGTTGATGGAAATTTTGGAAAAAGTTCCAATTTGATCAACTCTGGTGCTGACACTGAAACATGCCACGAGCGCTTAAAGACATTTGAAAGTCACAGTCGAAACACTGGAGCAACTAGATGTGCACCCAGCATAGATCTTGACGCCCTTGACGCCACAGTCTGAACAGTCTGAACAGTCTGAACACACTGTTAAAGCGCGCAACTCTCCACCAGAAAAGTTCCATGGTTCACCTTTAAACCCTACTTCCTCCACATTTACACTTCCTTCACCTTTCACGATGCTACTCTGAAAGCCAAACATTTTTCATAGCAGCTTTGGTGTGTGACTGCGCCTGACTAATCACCTGCTTTCTACTTCCTCTTCCTGAAATCTGATATTGTGGCTGTCATTTATCTCTGGCTGCACATCTCCCATAAATCATGTTATCTTGTGCTTCCTGCATTTCTTTTTTTCCACTAAACCTCCGCAGCGGCACCTTAATCAGGCCGACTGTCAAAAACACACTCTCCCTCCTCCGAGTGCACAAACAAATGTGTTGGTCTTGACTCTTTTCAAGTGGAGGAGGCATTGGCAGTGTGGATGATAGATCAATGCAAGTTCACTACAATAACATACAAAGGAATACAACTTCAATACTGCAAAATTATAGGATTTATACCAGAACATAGAGGTGGGGAATACATCATGTAAAAAATAATAATGAAATTGGAAAGATAAGCAAAATTAGGACGTGAAGTATACTGTCTATAGTAGCAAAACTGTCAAAAAGCCTGCAAAAACAGTTGAAAAAAACAACATTTCTAATCTCCCAAACAAGGGCAATAGTTGTGCACTTTATTCTATTTTTTAAAAGTCCTTTAAGTTTTTGTGCAATTTTGAACCTCAAAACAAGACATGCACGTTTTAGCACATAGCAAACACCATGAGTAAAGTCTTAAATTCAGAATATCAGTAATCAAAATATAGCAATTATAAGTTCATTTTAATTTTTTGCGATTTTTGGTTTTTGTTTTACTTGAATTGACCTATGACAATTCAAGTGAACATTTCTTACATCTTTAGTCCAAATATCTACAGCAAAATCTGAACAAATTATAGCAAAAAATACAAAAAAAAAAAAATTCTTAATTCAGGCCCTTTTAACAATAGATGTTCTTTTCTGCAGTGTACAGACCGCACTTTCCCTCCTGAGCCACTGGCCCCAAACCTGCTTTCATCTGCTCCGGTCTTTTGTTTTCACTTGGAGACGTTAATCCTTTAACCTTGTGTCGATGAGAGCTACATTCCAGGAATAATTCAGACTCACTGCCTCGAGTTATGAGCTCAAAATCAGTCAGGTGTCAATTCACATTTAGATCTGCTCAGACCTTATAATACAGCTTAAGGGAGTTTTGGCAATAGTTTGATGCCAACTAACATTTTTAGTTTTCAGAAGTTTTTTTTTTCTCAGATTTTTATACATTTCAGTCAATGTATTCAATTCAATATGACTTTTTCTTGTTATGGGGCCCCATTTTGATGACTTCTGTCCAAATCATATTCAAAAAATAGAAGAGCAATGTTTTGTATGTTTTTTAAACAGCTGTATATAGTTTGTATATACGTGCCGTGCTTTTGTAAAATCACTTATTTTCAAATACGTAGCAAAGGAGAGAAATCAGTTTGTCGACTGGACAAAAATTTTGTTTGGTCGAATACGTTTCGCAGCTCATCCAAGCTGCTTCTTCAGTTCTGAATACATACTCAGTTTCAAATACGTACTCTCATTTTTGTTGTTGTTGTTGTTGTTTGTTTAAATCAAAGTTGCACCTACGACTATGAATAAACAACACAACAACACTACTACTGCTACTACTGCTACTGCTGCTACTACTGCTACTACTACTACTGCTACTGCTACTACTACTACTACTACTACTAGTACTACTACTACTACTACTACTACTACTACTACTAGTACTACTACTACTACTACTACTACTACTACTACTACTACTACTACTACTACTACTACTACTACTACTACTACTGCTACTACTACTACTACTACTACTACTACTACTACTACTACTACTACTACTACTACTACTACTACTACTACTACTACTACTACTACTACTACTACTACTACTACTACTACTACTACTAGTACTACTACTACTACTAGTACTACTACTACTACTACTACTACTACTACTACTACTACTACTACTACTACTACTACTACTACTACTACTACTACTACTACTAGTACTACTACTACTAGTACTACTACTACTACTACTACTACTACTACTACTACTACTACTACTAGTACTACTACTTTACTACTACTACTACTACTACTAGTATACTACTACTACTACTACTACTACTACTAGTACTACTACTACTACTACTACTACTACTACTACTACTACTACTACTACTACTACTACTACTACTACTACATGTACTACTACTACTACTACTACTACTACTACTACTACTACTACTACTACTACTACTACTACTACTAGTACTACTACTACTACTACTGCTACTACTACTACTACTACTACTACTACTACTACTACTACTACTACTACTACTACTACTACTACTACTACTACGTACTACTACTACTACTACTACTACTACTACTACTACTACTACTACTATCACAGATACTATTACTTCAGCTTGTTAGCATTTCATAAAGGCATTTATATTATGATGATATGGAAATCAAAGGTTAAACACTGCCAAAATATTTGCCTTACTGCTCATAAATTGCTCATAAAAATGTATAAAAACAGTAGTTTAGGTGTGGTACTTGAAGACTGCATTTTATTCCTGAAAATTCTTGAAAGTCATAAATATACTTCAAAAAGAGGGGAACTAACTTTGTAATTAAAATGCACCAACATTTTGAGTTTGTTTGTGCTATAAAAACAAATGTAAATGCGCTTGACTAACAAAAATATGTGTGGATTGCATAATAACTGGAGCTAGCCACAAAACTTCCTCTCGTCAACTGGAACGGCCCTCGAGGGGAAGCTAAAACTCAAACACGCAAAGTGCACACAGAGGGAGAAGTGTGAGAAAAACCCAGTCAGAAACGAGATACACAGAGATAAAGGGCCGATCTGCATTCATACATATGTAGAGACTCATTAGATGCAATGTATTCCTGGTTCAAAACAGGCAAACTCACTCGGTACATTGTAATTTATATTTCAATGCCAAATAAAGCAAAATAATATATGTCGATTAGCATGTAGGTGGCAATAGATGGACATATAAACACAGTACGGAAGGATTTGTGTACAACTACTGCACCGATCACTGTACTGGCCAATAGAGGTGTAATGATTCACATATACATATACATATCAGTCAATATGAGATTGACATTTTTTTCTTCATGGCCGATGTCGATACTGATTGTGTAGAAAACAGAAAAACCGTAGCACCATGGGGGTTCTACCAAAAATGAACCCAAGAGCCACGGAGAGTGGGACAAACGCTACAGCTGCCAAATATGTATATTTGCCAAAGCAGAGGAACTCCAGACAGAAGGAAGACAATGGAGAGCATCAGGCATCAAGTAAACTGAATGTTAGTTGTGGTTTTTGCAGCAAACAATGTGACATGTGATGCTTTTAAAATAAAAGTCCAAGCAAAAGCATTCTATAATTGTGGTCATTGAAAAAGGTAAACGGGGAAGAAGAGAGAGAAAGAGGGAAAAGTGAGAAGGAAGACGGAAGAAGGGACAGACAGATATGTATACAGGAAGAGACACCAAATAACAAAATTTTAGTACAATAAGTGAAATGAGTAAGGATCTAAGGACTACTGTTTAGGACACCACCTAAAAGTGTGAACAAATGATGATGACAGAGAAACAGCTGGTAACATCAAGCAACAAACCTAAAATAACTCCGTACCAGCCCAAAACCCAGTAATAACAAGCAAGCAGAGAGAAAGAGGAGAGCTAAACACAAACATGGGTAAAATGAAAGGGAGCTATACGGCCATGGAGGTCTCTAATTACAGGCTCAGTATCTGTGTGGTGCACTGTTGTTTTTAGCTTGTTTTATCTCATATAGCATTTGTCTTTCAGAGTTCCTAAAGTGGCTTGGTTGTGTCTTTTTTTAAACCTGGAGCTAACGACGTGCCCACCTTTGATGCAGTTTCAGAAGCAAAAATAATACATGACAAACTAACAACTGGAGGGAGGAGGTGGAGTCAGCGAAAATCAGAGCCAGAACGAGCCTGCATCTGTTACACTAGGATGATGATGAGAAGGTGTTGCGGTAGCAGCGTTGCCACAATACTGACATTTCAAATTTGATTGCAAATACCGGGTAAAAGGCCCATATTAGCTTCTTTAATATTACCCTAGGTCTAATACTGGTTTAGATTTTGTCCAATTCATGATTTTTTGTGCTATTTACTGAAAGCAGAGGGCACTCCAACAGCAAATGTGGGCGCTAAAAATAAAGTTTAGGGCTGTTTTAAAATGCTTGTATTTTCCAAATGTAGAGTTAGAAAAAGTATGTTTGAAAGTGAGTTACTGTTACTGTACAGAAGCAGCTATTCATCCAGTTTTTTTTTTAAAAGAAGCTTTTCCTTTGCACTAAACTGTAAATTGTAAAATACTGATCCACTTACCATGAGATGCATAGAGCACATTGTTGACCATAGAAGGATGAACGGTGCCGTTGGTTTGTCCGTTCACTGGACTCATCCTCAGACCCGAGGAACTGTCAAAGGAGCGGTTTGGAGACACGCCACTGTGATCCTACACAACACAAAAACTATATTAGACGACAGAACTAGATCTGACACACATTCAAATCTTTAGTTTGTATCAAAATAGGAAGCACTAAGTTCAGAAACTGAGAGATTTGTAAGGTGTTTTGGTTATAAAATAAACCAGAAAGTACATACATATCACTTTATACCCTGTTTTGAAATATTACACAGCATTATTTCATTCAGTATTTATTTATCTTTTTATCAGCTCTTGTTTTGGTTTGTTGTGGTTTTCTTATTATAGCCGATACCTGATATTCTAATGTAGCATGCCTTCATTCACACATATTCAAATCTTCTCTAGTTTGCATCAAAATAGGAAGCCCCAAGTTCAGTGATTGAGAGATTTGTAAGGTATCCAAGTTCTATTTTGACACAAGAAAGAGTAGAGAAGAAATAGGTGCATAGGAGACAACTTTCCCATGACCCTTGCAGTTAAACCAGTTTGATTTTGATTTTTTTTCTAAGTCTTTGTATCTTTCTGTGTGGTACTGACACTCACCCCGACACTTGGATCCTCTCAAGAACTCATCCTTTTATGTCTCTGATAATCTAATGGTGCTGCGCTTTTTACTGTAAGTCTATTATTTATAACTGAATATAATTTGCATTCATTTGTATTACAGATGCGACACTCTTCCCTTTGAAAATGTTGTTTTTATCAAAGCTTATTCACGCAGCTTTGTTTCAATTTCATTTTCCTACATTTGTGTTATATCTGTAACAATGTAAGTCCATTTATTCTAACATGCGTATACTTCACCTTTGTTAAAATCTATAGCTGATTAACTTTCTTTTTCATTAAATACAGTTTTAATCATAGCCTATAATTGACTTGGGCATACTATATGATAATGTATTTTAATAAGCTAGCGTGAGCCAGTTCTTAAGTTGTGCGTTCATACCTAATATAAGAACTTATAACTGCATTAAATCACAAAATAATCCTGTCTTAAAACTGAAAATCTAATTCCTTTAGTTTCATTGTGTATAATAAAAGCACACAATGTCACTCTTCAGGTGGAGGGTCTGATACCTGCTTGCCTCTTTATATGGATCTTGTTGCTTTGCCTGAAATGTTCCACAGTTTGGCATTAAACTTATCTATCTCCATGGTGACAAGCAGGTGACACCATCAGGTCAACTTAAATGGTCAACCTTGCTCACTTTACCAATGCATGTTTCTCAGTGTATTTATGTATAATGTAATTGAATCTATGCAAAGTGAATCAGTTTAAAGTCATACTATGGAACATTCCAGGCAAACCAATAACCTTTGTACTCGATGTGAAACGTGACATAGTGCACCTTTAAACTAAACTGTACGCATAGCAACATAATACGCACTTTTCAAAGCACTATATTTACCATTACATTTTACTGTACATGTGTATGGATGTTCTGAACTGAATATAGACTAATTTTCCTCTGTGTTTTGAATGGTCAATGAATGAAAGGAAATGGAAAAAGTGGTAGATTAGAGCGTAGCATAAGGAGAGGGACATAAGAGAAAAGATCAGAGGGGAGACGAGAGTGGTCCACTTTTGTAATGTTAAAAGCATCAATACTTAAGTCCAAAAAAGCTTTTAAAAGGTACAGTCATTATCAATGTGCCTTCATCCACTGTTTTTATCTGGTCTCTTCTATTCTTAAGACAAAGCTACAGCACAAGCAGCGCTTTGAAGTCGCTAACAGCACTCAGCACAAACCTATTGACAGTCAATGGCCTCAGCTCCACCAATACATCTACAGGACCAATTAGTATACACTGCAGCAATAATGTGGTCCAATACTGTATAAGCAATTATGGATTACATTAAAATGGTGCATAAAGGACAAAAATAGAAATGTCTATAAGGAAAGAAGAACTGGGAACAGATCAGGAGAGCTTCTTCTTTTGATGGTATGATTAACATAAGCTACAAGCTTCAATAAAAAAATTTTGTCTTCAGAGTTCCTATAGTAGTTCCCAAGTAGACAATATTGACTGACTCAAACAAATATTTTGATATATGGGTGGGATTGTCTTGATAATCATAAACATAATCAGATGACATTTTTGCAATAGACCTTAATTGTACCTGTAAATGCATTGATTGAAGGTAGGATATGAAGCCTGTGCTGTTTCTGGTTTTAAAATCTACTATCACAACTGAGTCGTCTTACCACCAGTGCCTTAATCTGAGTATTAGGGATGACATAAGATCTAATGCTACAAGATCTCGCAAGATGAAATTGTCTCAAGATTGCGCACATATGAGAAAAATTATATGTATATATCTATATTTTTTCCATGTTTTGGAACATTGAGTTTGGACAAGCGGGAGTGAGTTACACATGTGGATTGCAAAGTCAAAACTGTGAAATGAATTGCATTGCATTGTGAATTATGTCAAACTCTTGTCTTGTCTCGTTCTCAGTCTCATGTCTCGTATTGTGCAAATTCTGTCACGTCTCACCCCTACTGAATATACAGGGTGTATTTCAGTGTATGGATAGGTCATGCCTCATGTGGAAGCTCACTGGAATTCTGATAGGTTGCAGGTGCTGGGGTTTACGTATTGACAATTCAGATCAGAGAGTTTATTTTAGTTTATTTTCGTTAATATTTTGTTATTCTAGCAGCACTGTAACTAACTAGTACTAGCTCACAACATGGTAGCCATTATAACCAGCTACCTCAGGATCTGCCTATCAATTACCATCTGGACTAATGTTACAATATTATAGACATGAAAGTCCCTAAGATATATACAGGACTTTCCCAGACCTGAGCCCTGTTTGACTGTTTCCACACACACCGAGAAGCTTTCTGCAACATTAAGTCTAAAAACAGAGCCAGTATTAAACACAAGAGCTCCACTAATGCGGCGTACAGTGTGTTTTTCATTCACTTCAGGCAGAACATGCAAAAGGCCATTCACACTCCAGCCAAGCACCGGCTTTGTCCACTCAAGGGTTTGTGCAAATAATCTACAGAGCAGCGTGAAAAGAGCTGAGAGCAGAGCCCACAGAAAGCACCTTTTCAACATAAAGAAAAGAGATACAGAGATACAGTGCAGATAGAGTGCACATGCTAGAGAGAGGAGAGAGAAATAGAGGGGGAGAGAGAGGAAAGAGGGGGAGCAGGGAGAGAAGGGGGAAAGGAGAGAGAGGGATAGGGAGGGAGAGAAGAGAGAGAGAGGGGACAGAGAAAGAGTAAAATGGGGTAAGGAGGAGAGGGTGAGTAAGAGAGGGAACAAAAGATGGAGAGACACAGAGAGAAAGATGTTATGAATAAAAGAAAGAAAAAAAACAAAGGGGAGAGAGTCATGCACATAGAGAGAGGAGAGGGAGAAGGGAGAAGAGAGAGATACAGAGACAGAGCATAGAAAGAAACAAAGAAAGAGGGAGAGATATATACAGTCAGTTGTGCACATACGGGGGGAAGGGTAAATGGAGAAAAAGAGGGTCAGAGAGAGAGACAAGAAGAATAGAGAGGATAAAGGTAGAGATAGAGAGATACAGAGAGAGTATGAAAGAAAGACAAGGGGACAAGTGACAGCAAGCCATGTGCGTAGAGAGAAGAAAGAGAGGGAGAGAGCAGAAGGGGGTAAAAGGTGGGAGGAGGAGGAGAGAAAGAGAGAAAAAACAGGAGAGAGATGGAAAGAAAGAAAATGAGAGAGAACTCAGCTGTAGCTCTACAATGAATAAATACAGTCTTATTCACAGGCTATCTTCAGCAAACTCTAGTGAAAGTGTGTGTGTTTTGTGTTAGTACCAGTAGCACCCTAAGGACCACCAGTTGAATGGTCCCCCTGACGTTGCCCTCCTGAGACATGGACCGCCGAAGCGTTTCCATGGCGTCGTGGTTCGAGCGTCCTATCAGCGATTCTCCGTTAACTGCCACCAACTGGTCATTCACACGCAGTCTGCCGTCCTGTTCACAGCAAATACAGGAGAAAACACAAGAAACGGTTTAGTAAGATGTAACAGTGCTTCTCAAAGTGTGGTGCTGGGGTCACTGCCGGTACATAGTGTTTTGTCACATTTTATATTGCTTTAGTACAGACCTGGTAAAAACCTGCTTTAATCCTTTCTAAACTTGGATAAGCCCTCCCGATAGTCTGAAAAACATATTCTAGGCCAGTGGTCCTCAACCACTAGAGATTGCAAGATACCAAGAGCTTTGACAGGTTAGCAAAATATGAATTGTGGAAATTAAAAAGAAATAATCCCACAACAGTGACTGGGAATGAGGTCAAAATTGGGGATACACTAATACCGATACTGATACTGATACTGAATATGAGCGCTGATACTAAAAATTCCCTAGATCACCATATTTTCCACAGAATAGGGCACACTCAAAAGCCTCTAACCCCATCAAAAAACGACCACGTGCCCCGCAATCCAGAGCGCCCTATACATGAATCCACTCGGGTGTCCCAGCACGACAGCGACCTCGCAGCGAAAAACACCAGCAGCCACACTCATCACTCCACACGGACGAGGAATTAAACAGAGGAACGAACCGAAAAAGCGAGTGCAATATGCCACTTTTAGCCACAACTGAACAACTGAGTCACTGCGAACACGTCAACAATCCAGCGGTCCCAGACAGCACCCTCCCTACACGCCACAACTGAAGAAAGCTCAGAGTCACCGTGAACACACCAAAAAAAATCCGACTGACTCATCTAATCTCATCTTGTGTTTTGTTTAAAGTCCAGTGTGGTTTATTTGTGAAACAAGTTCGAAAATAAACGTTAGTTATCAACCTCCAAAAATCAGTTCAGCCAATATCCTGGTTGGAAATACAGTATAAACCAATGTGATAAGACTGGTCATAGTTGCCTAGAAAGTCTAAATTTTTGAACTTTTATTTTTGCAAAGCTGTTCTGTTGTGACTTAAGTGCTACAGAGAGAGAGAGAGAACAGCTACAAATCACTTTGTTTTATTTTATTATTGTTTTAAGGAAATAAAAGCTGTTTTCAGCCTAGTGTCGGTAGATGCTTAAAGCCATAGTATCGAAATCGACAGCCAAACTGAAAAGGCTGGATCAGTGCATCCCTAGTCAAAATCATTTTATCATCGTTTTTATGATGATACTAACTATGGTTTTATGTCTGTGTTTATTGTTTATATAATTTATGTGTGCAAGCCAACTCCAACTACAAACCAATTCTACTTGCATGTACAAATAACCTGCACCTGAATCTAAACCTCATGTGATGCTTTTGTGGGGGCAGTAGTTTTGTACTGGAGGGCCTTGCAAGTCTGCAGTACAAACATGGGGGGCCTCAAGGTAAAAAGATTGCTGTAGGCTGTGCTATGTCACAAGTTAGTGGCAAAAACATCTTAGCCCGCACAGTGTTTTCTAAATGACTCCCTGACAGAATAAAACATGTTTCAATCGCAGCGTGCCACTTCAGAAATGGTCCACTAAAAGAGCTGCACAGGTGTGGGGTAAGTGCTGGAGCTGTCGGAGGCAAGTTGAATGAAGAAGACTGTGATTTGGGGAAGATTATAAAAAAAAAAAAAAAAAAAACTGTCTTGTGAGGAGTGCTTGTCTGTTTGTGTGGGAGAAATGTGAGCATACAAAGAAATTCATTTTGAATATATATTTTAAAATTCACTCTAAATAAAAAAGAAAAGAAATTACTGATTGGAATGTATCGATTGTAAAGTACTTATTATTGTGTACTGTGTTGAGTTATTGATATTTTGCAGTGACATCACGCTGGGGGTATTCTACATGTATCTCAAACACTGCCAAAAAAAAAATAAAACAAAACAAATTAAAACATTTCTTTAAACAACAGATTTTCAGGAGTCTCTGATCAATACGAGCATTTGTGGTCCTGTTTAGTTTGATTTTCAACCAAAACGGTGACTGTAAGTAACTGAAAATCTGTTGGCTTGTGACGGTAATTTTAGACCAGATCTCCTGTTGCAGTTCCAGCTAAGTCAATTCTCTGTTGCCAGATTGCATTCAAATGAAGCACAGATTAAAGTCAAATAAAGCCTCAGACAGAGCAGACCCTACAGTTAGCATCACACCCGCAATGAATAATGACAACATCAGCTGCACAGTATCAATGAGTGCGTACATCAGTATTCCGGTTATGATCAGGGTTTTTGAGTATCCTGGTTTCTTCATGGTGCATGTATAAACAGTGCCCCGTTACTGCAACATAAAGTTGAGTGTGCATGCATCCAGAAGACAAACACTTTCCAGTCTTTTCGCCACAACAGTAGTGACATAAATAAAGTGGCAAACATAAATAAAGTGACCATACATGAATGACATGACTGTAAAATAAAGAGCTGCGCTAAACCTGCACATGTACAATCTGCACACGTATGACCTGCACACGTTTGATTGTTGAAAAGCTAAAACATGAACTATGTTCTATACGATATACATAATTAATATATAATAATTAATATACTTCTATACATTAAGTTACAAATGTGCAAGCGCAAAAATTAAGATTATGTCAAGAAACGGGGATACTCTACTTGATCATGTATACACGAATATGAGTATCCTGGTTTCTTAGGGCGCATGTATATGCAGTATCCCTACTGCATGGGAATACTTGACTTTCATTATAACATTCAAAGGGTTTGATTTCATAAAGCTGGTCACACACTAGATAAACGTGTTTACTATGGCCACTCCAGTTTCTCAACCCAAAACATGTACAATAAGTCAAATCCTCAAGCTAAGGTGCTTCTGAACAAAACTCAAGATAGATCAAGATCTGGAGATGGGTCAAACACAGGACAAATTTCCATACAAGGACAATTAAATGTTAGCCTGATTCATCAGCCGGTTTCACTTCGTGGAAACTGTCTGACATCGCAGCATTAGGATTTGTTTGCTTGACGGTAGGTGGGTACTTGCCAGCACAACAGCAAACAAAGCAGAGAGTGAACATGTCTGTCAACGATGATTGTTGTTTCTGCGAGGTGAACTTGCAAATTAAAGGTGCAATAAAAAATGCAAAGTTTGTATTTGACAAAGGAAGTCCAAGGGAGGATAGCGTATACAGTCTGCTTTCGCAACTCGGGTTGGTTCAGCTTTTTCGCTGATTGGCTGGGCGATCTACAACTTCCAGGCTTCTTGAAAACCGTCCAGTGTGTTCCGATTCCTGACCTAGTTTCTGGAGAGAAATGAAATTGAGCGAAGGCACTAGGTGGCACCAGCCTGGCTAATTAAATGTAACTTAACCGCAGACAACGTGAATGAATGAGCATTAAAGAGTCAACGTTTAGTTAGTAATCATGAATAATCTTAAAGTTGTGATGTTACTTTTCATAATAAATGTAATACAAAATTCACACTGCGACATCCCTAGAAACAAAACTATCTCTTTTTGAAATAGAAATATTTTGCCAGTCCCTTGTACAGTGTTGCGATGACTTGAATTCCAGTTTTAGTACTCTCACCTTATAAGCGGCCCCTCCATGAATGATGGACTTGACAAAGATTCCCAGGTCCTCTCCAGTCTCTCTGGACTTGTTTCCTTTGAGGCTGACACCGAGTCCGGCCGATCCTGTATCATTCAGCGGAATCTCAAACATCAGCTGCTCCTTCCCACTCTCTGAAATGTAGTAAGGACCACGCGGCACATCTTCTTTCTATGGACACAATGTAAACAAGAATAACAGTTACCGTTTTTCAGATAAAAATGTACTGAGATTTGTGTTAATCAATATGGAGTTTTTTTTTTTCCATTTAAACATGTCCAGGTGAATAAACATTTGAGAGAAACCTGATTAACCAGTGGAAGAATCATATGCATTTCACAATATCTTTGTGGAGATACAGAACTATAGGATTAGCATAATTAGATGTACACAATAAGACTCCAAGAAGACATGATATATTGCTGCAGAGAACATAGCCGTCAGTGAAATGAAAAACAAATACAAAAAAGACCCTTTGTGATTTGCTCAATATAACCCTGCAATATAGATTACATATAATCACAATTATTTTGTAATAATACATTTGAAACTATTATTAAGGTACTGTCTACAGGGAACTTGTACACAGAGGCGGCGCTACCATTAGACCCCCAAACCTGGAGGGGCCCCCAACCATTTGCCCTCAGTCCCACTAATGGTTGAGGCCTCAGAGCAAGTTGAAGTAAACTACTCTCATATTAAGAGTAGTTTACTTCAAATTGCTCTTACTTTTAAACAAGAAAACATGATCAAAAAAGTATCTGATTTTCAAATCTATTTTAACTGTCAAAGCATTCTCCCATTTCACATTAGAATGGACTAGTCAGCTTGAACCTGATTTGAACACAATCATAGCATAATCATAATCATAATCATTATCATATGTAATGGATGTAAACAAAAATGTAACTGTAGTAGTAAAAAATAAAAGTACTTTCAGCTCTGATTATCTAGTAAGCTACCTAACTAATAAGACAAATTTCCAATCCACACTAATTCAAACTGAGATGTGTGTCTGTCTCAAGAACAATGGAGAAGAACAGACAATAAATATAAAAAAAATATATAATAAACAAAACAACAAAACAGTGCATTATAGTGAGGACTCCAAACTCAGGTTCGTCTAGGGCCCCCAAATTGCTAACTCCACCACTGCTTGTAGATGAAGTTGAGACTTAAAGGTGCACTATGAAACTTTTCTGATGTAAGCTCCGCCACCTGCATGTCTCCACAGAGAAGCTGATCTCCATGTACACAGCCAAGTGATGCCCTAGACTAAGTGACAGGACAGATCTGCAGAAAAACAACCCCGCTCACAGTAAAAATGCGTTACGTAGTGCACCTTTAATAGCATAAATAGCATTAGAAAGTGCAGATTAGACTAGTTATTCTTCTTTAACCCTAACGTTGATTTAATTTTGGTTAATGTTGAAGGACTGGAAGTTTTATAGGCGTAAATGTGATAAACGAAGGTGAACCAAGGGTAAGGAAACAGGTCAGACTCAACTAAAAGCTTTTCCATTTGAGACAAACCATCACAAGGAACATTTTTCAAGCTAAATTTCTCTCAGTGAAAAATTGCAGTCACTGTCTATTTTCCACGAACAAAAACGAAGGAAAAAAAAGAACACCATTTGGGCCCTATGCTTTTATTCTCCCAATCCTTTCTTCCCTTCTTTCAGTGCAGCAATATCAATAAAATGACCTGCACATTTCCACAAGGTAATTGAAGAGGGGCAGAGTATGTAGTAGCAGGAGGTATAGAGCGGAGAGAGGGAGCAGACAAAGAAATGGACTATGTAGAGGTACTATTAGAGAAATGGTGAAGGAACAGAGATGTATGCTATTGTCAACACAAATACAGCAGTGAGAGGATATGAGGTTGCTTAGATAAAGGTGTGAACAAAAAATAAGGTAGCAAGAATTGTGAGTGGGTTATATGTATTTTATTATGGTTTCTGATATTCATGGCAGAAATGTAAATATGCAGTGTGGCTTGACCAGTATCACCATAATGTTAAAAGAAAAAATATTTATAGACCTAGTTATGTAAATTATGTAAATCATGTATTCAAGATTGTTTGGTGTAGGTTTTATACAGTATATGGAGATGCTTTAAACACTTTATTAAAGGGACAGTCTGGAATTTTGGACATAGAACCTCATTTCCTAGTGAACCAGAGTGTTGGAGACGTGTGGAGACACTTTTTTAAATATTCCATCCAGTCCTTGTATTTGCAGAGGTCGCTGGTGCTAGGCTAGTGCATGTCAATGGCCATAGTTAGCCTGCCACTAAAAACTGTGCACCCGAGGCAAATCTATTATTACATCAGACTGTCGAGTTGAATGTCTGCGTCAATAGAATAACTGTAGAAGTAAAACCAACCTTGCATTTGAAGGATTTATGTCTGAGCAGCAGAAGCGAGTTGTACTTTGTGATAGAAAGCTTGACAGCAGCGGACTGATATCACCTAGCACCTATCTTACTGGCAAAGTAAAATTCCTCTGCTGAGAAAGTAGTCCCTCAACATGCAACAATTCATGTGATAAACGATTTGTTTCGGATGCTTTGTGGAGTGGGTAAGACTGTTTTCAGTGGCAGGATAACTATGTCCATTGACATGCACTAGCCTAGCACCAGCGATCTCTGCAAATACAAGGACTGGATGGAATATTTAAAAAAGTGTCTCCAAACATCTCCAATACTCTGGCTAACTAGGAAGTAACATCCTATGTCCAAAATTCCAGACTGTCCCTTTAACCTATTTTTCTATATTGAAAGAAAAGTGATGTAAATTATAAATTCTTTATTCTTTTAAACAGTTTTATTAGAAATGTTGTGGTCTTTGTTAGAAAATGTCATTTAGGTACAATTTTTTAAATGTAAATAGTTAAGTTATAATTATTCTGATTAATCATTGCAGCAGTTCGGTGTCCTGTGTTTTGAAAGATTATCAAAAAAATAAATAGCACAATAGTAAATGGTCACATTTTTTATAACGCACTTTTCCACCTTCAAGGCACTCAAAGCGCTTTACAACAAGGAACCACTCACCCATTCACACACAACCACACAACATTATGCGCAGACACTGGGGGCGAGGTGGGTTAAGTGTCTTACCCAAGGACACAACAACAGCATTCATCTGTGGGAGCTGAAATCACGCCGCCAACATCTGGGTCAGTAGATCCGACTGCTCAACCAATGATGTTTATGTCAAGAGCGGGATTCAAACTGTCAACCTTCGGATCAGTGGCTCTACCAACAGAGCAACTATCATCCCAAATAAATTTGCCATTGCAATTTAAGACAATCTAAAAACATCTATATATTGCACGGCTTATCAAAATGAAAACAGTACTATTCTATCTACTATAATATATATATTTGTTTTTTTAAATACCATAATTACCTCCACAGACAACCAAATATCCTGTCTTATTCCGCTTTAAAAACTGCTAACCTTGTAGTTTAAATCTGCACAAACACGTTCTGAAATATTCTTTTATTAGTTAGTCAGTTCATATTTCAGTCTTTCTATCAATTCTTGTGAACGTGTTTAAAATGTGAACTTTGAACAGGATCCTATAATTAAAACATAAATACCAAATCTAATCACCATCGCAAAGCTTGTCAGTAAAAACTGCAATTAGATATTTCTCCCAAATCGCTCAGCCTTAACCTCTATTCAAACTGCATTCTCAGGCAGTGCATCGAAATTAAACAGTGATAAAGCAATCTCTCCCCTATGCCATGCCAGTCTATGGTCTATGCTTGCACATCGTAATCTCTCCCTGTGTATTTGTGTGTACAGTTTGTGTGTATTTTGTGCGTAGCAGTCTGGGCAGGTCAGCAGAGTGCGGTTTAGACGCTGTTTGTCTGTGGGGATTGTAGGTTTAACAGGAGCTAATCCAACACAAACTCTTTACTCTGCACAAAACTGCACTCCCCCTCCTCTCTAACAGACTGTCCACACCTGATAGGAGAATCCAGGAGCATCCATGACCTTCTGAACAACTTCAAAAACAGCAGCACGCAAGCTAACTCAACAAATAATTACTCCAACTCGGACTGCATTGGGTTTTACAGATTAAGAGCGATGTTTGCAAAATTTCACTTTCATTTTAATTTTCAAAAGGCGTAATCACTGGTTTTCAGCTGGAAATCGGTTGACCCCCTCTGGTAATTTTTGAATGCATATTTTTGATTAATTTTGCAAGTACAATTACGACTGATTCTTTTTACTTGGCGATGCATTTTATTTAATTTCTGCTTGTCTTTCCACAACAACTTTTTCTTCATTCTAATTTTCATTTTAAAAAATCACTCACGGTTTAATAGTAAGCATGGATTGGATAGTAGTCTTTTTAATGCAATAAAATGAGTTTGCTTTTAACTGAATATTCAACAATGTCATATTTAAAGTGGGACTGAAAACCTAAACTCTGCCTACGACCATATTTCAAGTAGAGCTACTAAACTGGGTAGTACCTGGAGGACTAAAGGGAGCATGAAGAGAGAGGAGAGAAGGGGTCAGTGTGATTGGTCTAACAAGTATCCACTCTTCAAACTCTGCAGCCAGGTGTTCAGGTGTCTTGTGTGATGTCACCAGGTACTTGAAATTGCAGAGCAGCACAAACTCTGTTTTTACTTACAAAGCTGCAAATATATCTCATTTGCACACATGTTGCCCTAAAGGAACTGGGAACAATAGATATAATAATACCATTTAATACCATTAAAACACTACAAAAGTAGATTACCATAATTTCCGAACTATAAGATACTACTTTTTTCTCACACTTTGAACCCTGCGTCCTATACAACGATGTGGCTAATATATGGACAGATTATTTGTTTGGCACATTGTCCATACATATATACGGTCTATGGTTTGGCAACACCGCAGATGCGCATACAGCCTGAGTGCAGAAAGTGCTGCTGTCTGTGGGGGTAACACATGGATCTAGGGTTAAAATGAAGTTGCAGCGCACTCAAACAGTTTATCTGCGTGTGATAAAATAGGCTGTGATGCTAAATTGTAAATGACAAGAAGAAACTCAAACTTCAGTAGCCAGACATCCACTCATACCTGATCGACACAACTAGCCCTGTCCCCCGAAAGAGCCTGAAAGCTGCTGAAATCCTACGAGACACTGACATGATCATA